AAAAAAAAAAAAAAAGAATAAATTTTAAGAAGCACGGCTAAAAATAGCATATGCGAGTCAAAAACAAATTTTAAAAATTATAGAACGCAGTAAGTTCAATAAGATTTATCGATAAGCTTGTAGTTTTGTTAGAAAACTATCAGAAGGGTGGCGTACGACAGATTTTTCAGACATTATAAGATCTAAGTATCCTTGATGTGTATCTAAGTATCCTTGATGTGTATCTAAGTATCCTTGATTTGAGGATGCTTAGAAAATTGTTTTCTAGCATTTCTTCGTAGTTATAATCATAAGTGCAAAGCATAATATCAGTGGCGTAGCTAGGGTGGGGCAACGGGGGACATCTATCCCCGGGCGCAGCATTCAGGGGGCGCCAAATTGATGTTACGAAATTTTAGAATTAACTGTTTTCCGTTCTTGGCAGAGAGAAAGGGACGCAAAATCTTTAGTTGACTCCGGGCGCCGAAAAGCCTAGCTACGCCGCTGCATAATATTGTAGTAATTTCCTGCTTTTCATAGAAATTTCGGCCGGAAAGGATTTGGTCTCTCCTGTATCTTCTTGATTTTTATCTTTCCTTATGAACCCTGTAATATTAGCAGCTTGCCAAAGGGTAATATTTTGCAAAATTTACACCTTTTATTTGTTTCAGTTTATATATTATTAGCTTAGGAAGGACTTTTCTTTATTTTTAAGGGTATATTTTCTATTTTAAGTGCATTTCCAGTCACTTTTAAGCGCATCTTAACCCAGCCTCTAATCTTAACAGATGCAATAAATGCACAGAGTTAAAATGATTAAGGTTTATGCATTTTGCAGAGACCTGAGAGTTTACGCGATTCTGTTGAGAAGAATAATGTAACACCGGAGGACCTAGGTGCATTGACCTTACCTCCATTGAAGAATATTCACTTTCGAATTTATCAAAGAGAACTAAAAAAGAAGATTCTAACAATAACTACAAAAGTCCTGAAGTTGAAGAAACATAATAATATTCACAAGAAAAGTCTGGAAATTAGTCGTAGCTTTCGAGTTGAAGACGTGAGAATACGAAACATGGCATGTAAAAGCCACTTACGAAAATACAATAAGACACGTAATAATACTAAGAAAAATCCACATAAAAACAAAACTGCAAATACATAAGCTACGAGTAAATACCAAGCTACTAAAGTTCCCACAGACTGATAATAAATGCAGATAGAAAATATTAAACTCTCAGCACAATATAACACATTCTATGTTTCCATTTACACCAGATAAATTTTCGCTAAATGTGTCTTCCAGAATGTTAAGTACCACAGAAATTTTATCAGCAGAAGTGGAGGCAGCACGAGCCTCATCCATGCGGCCAGTGATTGATCTAATTACATCAAATATGGAATAATCACTGATTTCACAAATGATCTTTCATAAGATTTACAAAAGCTGTAGAAATTTTATTTGCGGAATTTTTATTTTGAGCATTTCTATTTTTGCTTTTATCTGCTATGTAGAGTGATGTCAATGAAGTCTAATCATTTACATTAATAGTTTTATTAGATTTATATATATTTGCTTCCCTGCTACGGCAACCCTTAGATGTGATACGTATTTCGGAATTAGGAGTTTTTTCTTGATTGTGGGCCGAAGCATGTCCTCTACGGGGCTCAGATCCAATTTCATTAATATCCCAAGATCTAGTGGGTCTTTTTTCATGGACATAATCGAAGTTGGCAGCATGTGCTACGAGTGTATTAATAAATTTATCTTCTCATCCCGAATTCTTATGAGGCGGAATCCATTTAACACGCTTCGGAGCGAGTTCACACTCGTCTTAAATCGTCGAGTTCCCACTCGTTTTACACACTCAAGGCTCCTAAAGAAGCCTTACCCTTATACTGTTTTGAGGAATTTCGTGAGAGGGAAAATGGGAATCTTGGGCACCGGACGTGTATATTAGGTTTCGCTATGCGCTACTTATCTCTCCGACCTTTTGGTCTTTTCCAGATCGCTTAAATATTTTTTTCACTTTTAAATATTATACCTCATCTTTTTTTCCCCCTTCATAATGTTTTTTGCTATTTGTTTAATAACCAAATGGAAGGGATGGATTATTCTTTATTGTCTTAAATAAAGTCTTAGAATTATGAGCTAATATAAATACAGTGTGCCTCAATGTGTTAAACTAGCAATAACAAGTAATAAATTATGATAGTAAACTGATAATAAGTAAACTTGTAATAAATTACGATAGTTAAATTAATAAATACTATGTTTAAATTTATGTTTTTAATAAATATACTCCGTAATTTATGTATATATCTCTTTGGCTGATGTGGTCTTGTGTATGGATCTATGTTTTTTGTCTGCTGCTGTTTTTGAAAAATGTTGCAGATATTGGGAACGATAAGAGCTAAAGTTATTAAATAATGTGAAATACCTTGATAGGAAACATCTCAACGCTGCCCTATTTCTTCCATCATCACATCTATTCAGCTTTACCAAACATACTCACTACATACACTTGTGAGACATTATTTATTGTAAATGAACACAGCTTCCTCCCTTTTTGATTACACTCATGGACACAATCGTATTTTAGAATATTTTGTACTTTCTACTTCTTTTCCTTTTCTTTCTATAGGCCTTTCTTATTTATTTATTTATTTTTGTCTCCTCTATTATTTCGCACAAAAATATACGAAGTTCCTTTTTACTCTTCTCTGAAATTATAAAATTGATCCCCTTCCTATATACCCTTTCTTCGCACCTAAGCCATCTACATCTATGTAGGAGGTACCGCAGTGGATAATCGCACCGACGGTGCGAATAACTAAGAGGCTACGTTCGCGCATGCGCACAATCAGCTCAGGTACCAGCATTTTACGCCGATTTCCGTAAGGCAGGCGGTAGCTAGAGCGAAGGTTGTTAACCCTATAACTCAGCAATAGAAAGAATGGTTAATAGTTCACCAGCAAGAGAATAATTTGCAAGTAATATTTATCAGTTACAAAGACGAGGTCAATCTCTATACATGATAATGTTCAGGAAATGATTAGATAAAATAGGGATTTAATGATGGTTCTAATTGCAAGCGAAGACGTTTTATTAGTTAAAAAAACTTTAATGTATTGACAAAAAGGCTATACAGAAATTACTTAAATTCTTTTATTTAACTGAGGAATTTTTATGCAAACTTAGACCCTAGTCTTATAGCATAGGACTGTCAGAATTTATTATTCAATAAGAAAACTTACGAACATTATAATATTCTTATATATTCATCACTTTTTCAGTATCCACACAGGTTTATAGGTTTAAATGCCATATTTCAAAATCAAATTTATTTATGAAATAAAATCTGATAAATCATTTGTGTGTGCAAATTTTTAAATCTAATATCTCTTACATTAAATTACTTCTGTCTTTTAAATTACATCCCATTATTTATTTTAATTTAATTTATTAATGTGTTTGTACTAATATTTCAAACTTCTTTGAAATACTTTTTGTGTCCTGAAAATGCCAAATATTGCCATAAAAAACAGGCATACAAAATTGTTAATAACCCGTATTATATGATAATTTATTCGTGATGAAGACTAACGTTAGGAATAGAGACAAATAAATAAGCAGAGATTCATCTAAATTAACATATATTGAAACACAAAATGGCACAAGTACAGTAAAATTCTACATGGTAAAGTAAAACAGTGACAACAACTAAAAACACGTTGCCAAGAGAAAAATATAAAAAGCGTGTTGCCACACATGTTGTAAAATACAAATGGGAAATATAATCACAAATAAAAGTTATTTGCAACACTCCCCCTTGATTAAATTTCTCTCAGTCCTACACAGAACCTTTGATTGAACAAGGCTTTCTTTTGCACACTCTTTGTGAACATGTCTGCTGTATTTGAACTAGAAGGCACATACGTAAAGTTTAACAACTTCTCTTCAACCTTTTCTCTCAAGAAAAAATGCCTGAGTTCAATATGTTTGTTACGCTCTGAAGTGACATGGTTTTTAGCTAAAGAAATGGCACCCTGATTATCAACAAATAAAGTTTTGTGGAAAATTTAAAAAATTTTCTCCCACAATTTTCTTAAAAAAATTTTGGAACCATGGTACTTTCTTGGCTGTGTGGCACATTGAGAGGTACTCAGCTTCAACTGTTGACAATGCAGTTGTCTGTTGTTTCTTACTGCTCCATGAGACAGTTCCCCCTCCTAGTAGCACCACATAGCCACTAAATGATCGTCTGTCAATCTTATCACCAGCCCAATCAGAATCACAAAACACTTCCAAATTCTTTCTTTCCAGTCTTTTGGAAAGTCAGCTTTAATTCCTTGGTCTGTTTTAGGTAACGAAGGATATGTTGTATTCCAGCCCAATGTTCCTTGCTTGGGCAATTATTGAATTGGCTCATGTAAGTAGTAGCAAAAGCTAAATCCGGCCTTGTTCCTCCTGCTAGGTACAAGAGCCCTCCAACAGCCTGCCTATATTTTAATGCTCCTTCAGCATTCAACATGTTATCCTTAGTGGCTGTTACATATTTCATACCTGGATCTAATGGTGTTGATGCTCCTTTAGCATCTTGCATATTGGTTGTTTCCAAGAGTTCACTAGCATAGACACTTTGGTCAAGAGTCACACAGCTATCTTCCCTTCTGCTTATCCTAATTGAAAGAAGGTGATGTATTTCTCCCAAGTCCTTGATTTTAAATGTAGCTGCAATATTATCCTTAAATTCCTGAATGATGAAATTCTTTGCTGGACATTACAAGAAGATCATCCACATACACACCTACAATTAACTCCTTTTCTTTATTGAAGTAAACACAAGGATCTGCTCTGGATCTTGTTAGGCTCGTTGATTTCAGAAATTTATCGAGGCACATATTCCATTCTCTCCCAGACTGATGAAGTCCATAAAGGCTTCTCTTTAGCAAGCAAACTTCTCTGTGTGTTTTCTCATGCAGACTCACGGGTGGCTGTTCCATGAAAATTGTCTCACTCAGTTCTTCCATTTAAATAGGCTGCAGTAATATCCAAGTTGATGAACCTGCCAGTCTTGCTCAACTGAGAATGCTAATAAAGTTCTAATTGATTTTGTTTTTATTACAGGAGAAAACGTCTCTTTGTAGTCAATTCCTTCGACTTGGGTGTAGCCACGAGCAACTAAACGAGCTTTATATCTTTCCACTTGTCCATCTTTGTTAAGTTTTCTCTTGAAGACCCACTTACATTTCACAACTTTCCTTCCCTCTGGCCTAGGCACTATGTCCCAAGTTTCATTTCGTTTTAAATTTTCCAACTCTTCTTCCATGGCTAACTTCCATTTTTCTGCATCTGGACTAGTTAATGCCTCTTCTAAAGTTTCAGGATCATTCTGGAAAGCTTTCTTGGGTGTTGAGCCTTCATATTTCTGTTTCTTCGGATTGTCAGCTGCACTGCATTCCACTTGTAATTCCATTTATTTCTGGAGGATTTTCTTCATAAATCTCTGAATTTTCCATGATATAATCCTTTGTCCACTTAGGCGCTGAAATTTGTCTTCTGGGTCGAGTCTCCTTTTCTGGTATATCCTCCACCTCCTTCTTTTCCTGTTGAGGAGCCTTCGTCTATTACTTTATTTTCAACTTCATCATCTTGAGATGAATTTCTTCCAGAAACTTGTTGTGGGTGCAATGTTATAATGTTTCCAGTCATGGAAGGTTTCTCTTCAAATATGACATCTCGGGAACAGATTACTGTACTGGTTTCTTTGATGTAAATGCGGTACCTTTCATCTCCATCATACCCAAGGAGATAGCCTTTAGTTGCCCTTTTTGTCCATCTTTCTCCTCTTCTGAACTGGGATATGAGTATAGCAAGTCGATCCAATGATGCGCATGTGTTTTATTCTGGGTTTCTTTCCCATCCATAATTCATAAGGGCTTGAATTAGGAACTGAAGACTTGCCTGTCCTATTCAATATATAAATTGAAGTACTGACGAACTCTGCCCATAGAAAGCTGGAAAGTCCACTTCCTCATTCGAGTATTTGAGAGTTCTGGCCATTTCTAGGACTGTTCTGTTCTCTCTCTCGTTCAGCACTGCCATTTTGTTCTGGTGTATATGGAGCTGTGAGCCTCTGGGAGATTCCATGCTTGTTCAAGATCTTGCGAACGGCTTGGTTGTCAAATTCTCCACCATTGTCACTGAGCATTTCTTTAAAAAACCGTATGCCCTAAGTTCTTAGCGTGAGCTATGAAATTTTCAAGCACATCTTTTACTTCTGATTTGTGCTTTAAGAAAAAACAGTATCGAAATTTGGTGTAGGCATCTTTGAAGATTGCATTGCAAAGTAACGGTATTTCCTAAATGACTGATCAAATGGCCCACAAATATCTGTCGAGAACAATTCTCCAGCTTTTGTAACCGCTTTCCTGGTTCCAAACTTTAAACGGTGGGATTTTCCGTATACACAAGCTTCACATAATTTCATATCAGACTTAATCTTAATATTCAACTCTTTCTCTACAATGGCCTTTACATGCTTTTTATCTTGGTGACCCCATCGTTCATGATAAAGTTGGAGAGTTGATTCATTATTCTCAGTCATGTTGATGTCAATGTGAGTTTCAGGAACTAAGGTCTTCATCACGGCTTTGAAGAGACCCCCACCAGCATTTCTTGTTCCATGCAGAATTTCACCATCTATTTTTAAATAGCAGTCCTTAAATGTTGATTCCAAACACACTGTTTTGATTTCTATCTTGAGATGCTAACACAGAAAATAGATTTTTACTTATTTCTGGAACATACCAGACATTTTCAAGATTTTTGATTTGATTCATCCCATTTACAATGGTCATTATCTTGATGGTGCCTTTTCCAATTGCTGGTAATGACTTTCCATTTGCCACAGTGATGCTATGAGGAAGCTTAAATCTTTTGAAGTCTATAAAGTAGTGCCTGTTATTGACGACATGTTTCGAGGCCCCATTATCAATAAACCAATCATCAGAATTCGTTTCTGCAGAAAATATTGTATCATCTACAGCTAGAAGTGTCATATTTGCAGCAACACTGTTTTTACTTCCCTTGTTTGGCCCTATATGTGGACTGGGTTTCGGCGGTTTTCCATCAGCTGTCCATTTCTTGCATGTTCTGACCCAATGTCCTCTCTGGTGGCAATAATTACACTTGCCATTGTTTTTTCTTGTTAATAGATGATTTCCGCTTAAATTCCGGATTTGCTATCAATGCTTCCTGATTTAAAGTTTCTAACAATTTGAATCTTTCCTTAATTCTCTTTCATGGGTGCATAATTGTGTGGTTAATTCATCTAAAGTTCTCTTTTCATCACTAAGAAGTAACCAACTCGATTTGAAAGTACGATAACTGGGAGGAAAGAGTATCCAATATTTTACAAATCAACAGCATTTCTGGCAGTCTGTTTTTCTTCCTTATTTTCAAGCCCACTGTTCAGTTCATTCCATAGATTTTTCAATTTTGACAAATGAGCTGCCATATCATCATTTGACCAACTGAATTTTGAAGAACTGTAAACATATGTTATAAAGTTGGTTATCGGACGAATCTTCGAATACTTTGTGAAGTTCCAGCCAAATGTCTCTTGCGCTGTCAAATCTCATTACCTTTTGTAAAGTGTCTTCAGTCATGGAGTTCGTAAGAACCATCATAGCGCAATTATTTGCTTTATTAAAAACCTTCATATCATCTCTAAATCTCTTTCGAATCTCTTCGGCGGCCGCATGATCAGGCTCCTCTGGCTTCTTCAGTTTTCCTTCCACGACTTCTAAAGCGTTTTCGTGATAATTTAATACGAACTTAATTCTATATTTCCAAATAGGCCAATCACTTTTTCCGCATAACGGCTGAACCAATATCTTTGCAGCTTCCATTTTTGCGAACTAATTTGCCGACTCACGTAAGGCTTAAGAACTGCCGTGTTAGGCTTACGAACTGCCGGTAATGTTTATCTCCACTTCGCTCATAAATTTCCCCGCACAGTTATATCATGCTGGTACCCATAACCTGATGAAGACTAACGTAGGAATGGAGACAAATAAATAAGCAGAGACTCATCTAAATTAACATATATTGAAACACAAAATGGCACAAGTACAGTTAAATTCTACATGGTAAAGTAAAACAGTGACAACAACTAAAAAAACGTTGCCAAGAGAAAAATATAAAAAGCGTGTTGCCACACATGTTGTAAAATACAAATGGGAAATATAATCAAAAATAAAAGTTATTTGCAACAATTCGTTTAATAGTTGATTTAATCGCTTTTAACTTATTTCATCTCTAAATATCCTACACAGAAATCCTCTGTCTAATTTTTATTATCTTTTCTCAGACAATTTTCAAAGATTAATGAATCTTGTGTGCTTGATTATGCAAAAACACATCTTTGAAGCTAAATGTATTCTAAGAAGAATGTAAACAATATTTTGGCCTCCCCCCACAAATCAGTCATTTAAACTATTCCAACCTTTCAGGAAAACGATAAACATTGTGAACATAAAAATCTGCCCTTGTTTTTTATATACTTTAATAAAAGGAAATGTGATCTTTCTCTTAACATATATATAAGAAAAGAACCCATTTTTCTTTCTAAACTTTTGAAAGTCGCCAATGCTTTAAAATTGATAACCTACGCCAAGGGAGGTACTAACCAGCCTTAAAAAAAAAAAAAGAAGTTCGCGTATGTCGAAGATTAGGTTCAAATGACGGATCCGACAACTGAATGCGCATGCGTGGTTAATGTTGGTGCGAATAACTCAAGGCCTAGCAGCAAGGCCCAAGGCGTTTTGCTTCCGGAGTACCTTTGCAAATAAATGCAATAACCTTCCACAACTTCGTTAAGAAAATGATTTGAATAATTAAGAGATGAGCATAGCTAAAGTAAGAGAACGAAACCGTTAGGGGTTTAAATACCAGAAGTGAATGAGAGGTCCACACATGGAACGAAAGTTTCCTTCATCTTTCAATTTTGCTTAGGAAAGGGTCAAAGACCTCAAGCGATAAGAAAGGTGGAAGAAGTATTTGAGGCGATTCCTGCACGCATTGCGTGAATGGGATCGAAATAGATGAAAGAAAATGGGGTGAGAGGAACATGCCTCCGGCCCCGGGATAGGTTATGTCATGGCTACTCTGAAAAGCAGGAGATTCGCTAATGCCTTGGGATGAGCGGGGAAAAGGAGCCGGTCTAAAGATGGCTGAGGTGGACAAGGCCTAGGAGGTACTTCCTAAACTCGATTTTTTGTCCATCGGCGCTGAAAGACTTAGCGGGTGCAAAACAAGACATCTGTTCGTGGTTTAAAGTCTAGTAAGAACGACTAGCGGCTCAAAACAGGGATGGCCGTGAGCGGCTCCTTACGAACGGGCTGGCTGTATGGACAATGTAGTGGTTTTCTCTATGTGTAACGTGTATACAAGCCAGTTTCCCTTAGAAAGTCCTCCACGTAGGCCTCTCTTCCCTTAGGGAGATAGCCCTCGAGGGTTTGCTCTAATCACATAAACCAAACCAAACCTTTATGATGTTCCATATGGTTTTCACCGATCGATCTGGAATAGCGACTAAAACATTCTTTTGATTCTCTGCACAATCCACCGAAAACCCATTGTGGCAGAAGAACACGTCCAATGTTATTCTTGCTTCTACTGAAAAGGCTTTCGTCTGCTTCATAATTTTTTCCACATCCGCCGAATTTCAACTTAGGCTGAGAAATTAAAGCTATGGCACATACCTCATGCATATCTTCCAGTCTACAGTTGTATTGTGGTTCATCTTCAGTTGGACTTCACAAAATTCAATAGATGTCATCTCTTGATACCAAAAATAGGTGAGCCTGCCTATCAGTTATAAGGAAGGGGATTTTCGTTCCTTCGATCCAATATCCGACTTCTTAATCCTTTCTTCAGAATACAGGTTCATTCCTGCACCTCCATTTCGCTATTGAGTTACCGCTAAAGCATAATTTCATCTCGTGGTTTTTTCGATCATAATATTCTATAATGAATGATGTCTTTTCTTTGGAAAAATTCTATTGCAGACATTTTGTCATTGGACAATTCTCAAATTTTTAGATCCATATCATTATCAAAAAAGAATTAAAAAAATAAACCAGTATTTCAATGGCGACTTACAAATATTCCCCCCCCCAACGGCGGGCCTTCAGCTTGGCCACAACTAAGGCCAGGTGGTGGTCACTTTATTATGGAGGCACCTAATAAACCAATAGGGGTGTGCGGAAAAATCTATGAAGGAACCAGCAGTTATAACCATGCCTTCTCCGGAATTCGAGGCCAGGCCTTGTGGTATCGCAGTTAGCTTCCCTAATCAATATATCGTGTGGGCGGTGACTCACGAATATAGAACTATTTAAATTTACGTGGAGTGAAATCGCCGCTTTCGCTAGATTTTGCACATATATTTTCGTTGCAATTTGCTACGGC